TCTCTCTCTCTCTCTCTCGCTCTCGCTCTCGCTCTCTCTCTCTCGTCCCCTCCGCGCGCCTGGCAGCGTCGCGGTGGTCCGCGTGAGCGAGCCAGGCGTTGCGACCTGGCTCGCGGCTTTGCTTGCACGCGGCGCGCGCAGCGATGTCACAGTAACGGAGCGCTAACCCGATGGCGCTGGCGGTTCCGCTGGAGTTTGACCTTCTTCCATTAACACCGGATATCAGTTTCCATAAGGAGTCTCGTTGATGCCCAGACTTGCTCCGCCTGATTGTTAGACTTGTCGATAGTTCTGTTACACCTCTCTTTCCAGATGACCCAGAGTGTAATGAACCCAGTCTGGCAGATACTCAGAAGTCGTCAAACATCAGTAGTTTCATTATCTGCATCAAAGTCTCCAAATTGTGAAGTGAAATCTCAAACAGTATCTCATTACCATCAAAGAAGAGAGTGGAGGGGGAACAGACAAAGGAGAAGATGAAAGATCACAAAATAATAATCCCTTCAGATCCCTCTCCTTCTCCGGGCTTCTTCCCTCTCCACATCAACAATGATAATAAGTATATTCTTGATCACACACAATAGTGCCACGTGGCACTTTATCTCGTGAAGACATAGCAGATTCCAGTGTCGACGTCAACCTCAAGTGAGTACCGGATCTCCTTCATCCACAGATCCCGATCTTCCTCCTCGAAGCAACCAGTCACCTCATGTAGACAGCGCCACGTCAGCAGTCGAGATAGGTGGCATATGCCACATCATCAATGAAGACCAGTGGCAGCGCCACATCAGCATCCACTGCAAACCAGAGGCAGCGCCACATCAGCATGCTATGTAGAACAGAGGTAGCGCCACATCAGCATGCAATGTAGTCCAGTGATAGTGCCACATCAGCATGCAATGTAGACCAGAGGTAGCGCCACATCAGCATGCAATGTAGACCAGAGGTAGCGCCACATCAGCATGCAATGTAGACCAGAGGTAGCGCCACATCAGCATGCAATGTAGACCAAAGGTAGCGCCACATCAGTAATGTAGTCCAGAGGTAGCGCCATGTCAGCATGCAATGTAGACCAGAGGTCGCGCCACGTCAGCATGCCACCTCAGCAAGCCTGGCGCATAATGCAGGAAGCGCCAGCATGCTTCCTCCCTCGTGCTGTCATTCGCATCGCCAGCGCATAGCCAGCGTCTTGCCAGCGTCGAGCCAGCATAATGCCAGCGTGTAGTCAAAGTCGAGCCAACTTCAAAGCAGCATAGCAAGACTGAATGCTTGACTCACTCGAGGCCGGCCTTAAACCACAAGTACACCCGCACCTGATTTAAACGAACCCGAATTTCACTGCGCACTGAGTTTTGCCGAGCCTGGGTGCGGTTGTATTTTCTTTTCTCACACTCCTCCCAAAAGAACAACGTGAAAAAGAAAAAAGAACTAAAAAAAAAAAAACACCACAACGCCGCTATGGACGAGAAAGCAGTTGGATACAGAATCAGGGGTCAGTGTGAGAGTATGCCCTCAGTGAGGGCGTTTACAGCTCCCTGTGATCTTCTTTGCTCCCACATGGTGCCATTTGTTGTCGGAGGGGCGGAAGATGGCTGGTTGTTTCACTGTTGGTGTTTTGTACGTCCATATCCACTTTGGTTCGGGGATGTTGTTGTCGAAGGCCCAGCCATGGTAGTCTGAATCGTTGATGAACCAAATTCCTTTTGCTTCTTCAACTTCCGGCAGCCTGTTCTGTCCGAGTTTCTTTTGTTCGGGGGAGCAAGGACATTTGGGATATGTTCCCAGATGTCCTCTCTGTTTACATCTGAAACAAATCGGCAAGGTCTTGGTGGAGACTTTCACTTCAGTCACCTTGTCCTCAATGACAAATTGTCGTACCTTGGGGAATACTGGGGGGTCGTCGGTTGGTACTTCCATAATTGCTGTTATGGAGTCACAGTGGGGATGGAGGAAGTCAAGGGTGGGGAGTACCCACTTCACTACATTGTTCGCAGGGTATTCAACTTCCACTCGATCCTTGATCGGTGGGTGGCCTCTGGGAAGGATGTTATCGAATTGAACCCAAAATTGCTCCCTCATCAGACGATTTTGGTAGGAGACAGGCGGCGAGACATCTGCTCGCTGGGCTGTTTCCGCCTTCCATCGCGAGAGCGTGCATACAGACCCGTGGCAGTGCAAGGTCTCACACTTCTCCAGTAAGTGTGTTGCTTGAGCTGCATCTTTGAAAACCATGATCATCGAGGTTCTCCCCGGGCCAAGCATGGAGAATTGTCGATGTTCGTTTTGATGTTTTTGTGTTCCTGGATGGTTTTCAACTTTTCACCATCCATTTCCTTTTCTCAATGGGGGACAGTCTCGCCCCGGCATTGGAGAAGGAGAAAATGAGAGCATGCTTCTCGAAGGTCGCGTTTGTGTCTGCGATTTTGTCTTTCGGATGTGCCCAGGCGGTCACCTCTTGGTCAGTGTTGTCCTTGACGTTCCTGATTGTGATTGTGACTTTCTCACCTTTGATTTTGGGGGCCTCCATTAGGAATGGCAGGGTCTCGTGGTCGACGTTGGAGCCAGCCTGTGCTGAGCTGCATGGACTTGTTGTGCTTGTTGCGGCTACCGTGCTGTAGCGGCGCTGGTATGTTTGTGCCATGTTTGTGTTGGTGTGAAGCTGTGTCTTGTGTTATAATTTCTCTCTTTTCTTTTTCTTTAATAAATTACTCTAGGGTTGGAAGTCGTGTTTCGTTGTGGAGGAGACATATGCCGCCAGTGATCGGCACAGACTGCAAAATTAGATCTTGGATTGTATGTGCTATCTTCTACTCACAGCTAGCCTACGTGTCGAATGTGTATGACTATCTATCTTGTTTTTCTTGATTCTTGGTGTTTTTTAATTTAATTTAATTTTAATCCTCTTTTTTGCTTATCCTGATGTGGGTTGGATTGACACTTATGGTTGTGCTTGGACTGGATTCGACTCTGAACTCTTTTTTTTTTTTTTTTTTTTTTTTTTTTTTTAAAAGGTGACTGCTGATCTAGTTAGGATCTTCCCTAGTTTGTTTGTTGTTCGCTGTTCTACTTCTTTTTGCTTTTTCTTAATGTTTGCTCTTCTTCTATTACTTAAGATCTGTGGTTCGTAGGTTTGATTGTTGTGTGTTTGATGAGGTGCTTGGTTACTCGCCGGTAGCTGTGTATGGTTAATATGGGGGAGTGTTGCAGAGTGTGTGCTTGGGGTGGGTGGGTAGCCTGGGGGTT